TCTCTCTCTCTCTCACACACACACACACAAATCCATCAGCCTATATAAACACAACACACACACACACATACAGAGCAGCCCCACACACACATAAATTTTATGTTTATGTTTTTAATTTGGATGTTTAATATACTTTATTTAATTTGAGTTTTTATTTTGTGAATATTTTTGTTATGAAATATGCTTTTTATTTTAATTATGAACACTCAATAATATTTTTTTTCAATAAAGATGAGTTAAAAATTTAAACGTTTTAAGTTTGAATTTTGACAAGTTTTTAGGGTCAGACAATGGTGATTTATCCCTCATGAATATTCTAATTATAATATGGATGACTTTCTTTTGGTCAGATCAAAAAATAAATTAGTTAAGATATAAATAAATTAATTTGGACACCCAAACCAGTAAACCAAAAAAATAAATAAACTAAGGAGATTAAATCATCAATTTTCCAAAGTTTTTTAATCCATGAAACGAAAGTTTGAGTTGGTAGAAGATTGATGGTATTTTGGAAGTCCGTGCTCTTCAATAATTGAACACCTTATAGTTCAGAGTTTAGGGTTTGAGAATTATGTATGCAGAATAGTATTATTTAAATGTTGTTTTGTTTCAAGCAATTTTTATTGAAGGGGTGACTCCCTTTATTACACATGTTATAATATTAAATGAGCTCACGTGATTAACAAGACAAGGAACATGAGGACGACATCATTCAAACAGGGCCAACTGAATTGATCAATCTGTTCGACAAACAATAAAAAAGCCCTTATCAAGTCGAGCTATTCAAAACGTTCGGCGTGTAACAAAAGAGTTCAGTTTTGAAACAGTAAATAGAAAGGTGAAGATTCATCAAAAATTTAGGCATCCAAGATAAGCTAATAAACTTAATTATAGGCCAAGGGAACCGCTGGAAAGATTTCAGCAACTTTTCAAACTGAATTGCTCAATTGAAGTAAGATGTGTCACCTTGAATCGAAATTCATGGAAATCCTAACTGAACAGGATCTATAAAAAAACAAAATGAATCAAGGTGAAAGGTATGCTTAACTCTCCTTGTCTTCTTACAATTGTCTCAATTCCATTACTTATTTAAGCATCGGAGTGCCTTCGATCGAAGCACTTCGATCTTTGACAATTTGTTCGTTTTGCTAAAAACAAAGACTAGAAGATCAAGTTCAATGCTCATTCTTGTCGAAAACATTCATTCTTTATTCCTGTAGGAGGTAATCTAATTTTTTGCATCTTACATTTATCATAGGCAACAAAAGTTTAGGGCTTGAGAATTATGTATTCATATATTGTTGGACCTTAAAATTCTATCTACACTCATCGGTGGATTTACTAAGGGGCAATTTTTTTTTAATATTATATATATATATATGTGTGTGTGTGTGTGTGTGTGTGTGTGTGTGAAACATTACAAATATATATTTTAATGTGCTCACTCTATTATTTATATATTTTAATTATATTTTTGTTAAAAAGTGATTATAGGATATGTTAATATACATGTTTAGTCATTTTTATTGTCTTAAACTCTTTTCAATTGGATTTAATTTGTATATTTATGAGTTTTTTATTATGTATTCTTAATATGGTATTGAAACTGACCTATAACTGTAAATTATTTTTGTATGATTGTCTATCTCTATATTTCTTTTGATTATATTACTATTCTCTACTCAATATTTTGTTTAATGGCTTTACTATTTTGATATGTTAATTTTAATTTTAAAAGATAATTTGTAAAATAAATTAAATATAAAAAATTGTGAAAAATTAGCCGAGTAACGTAGTGCATGATTAATAGATGACTGAAAACTTTATTGTACAACATGATACTTTCCATGTCATTGATAATAAGTTTACCATGTAATGCTCTTGAATTATAAAAACTCATCTGGTCAATTGAAAAAGTTGTGATTAGCTTCTTAGTATTAAAAAGTTGTAATTAGTCGATTTTTTTGTTCTTTTTCTTTGTGTTTTATACACTTTTGAGATATAAATTGTTAAAGTTTGTTTATAACGAAAAAATTTATGCTCGATTTAAAAAAATCATGTTACAACTTTTAGAATTCAAGTTTTTTTTTTTTTTGAGGGATTAATTTATAAATTTTTTTTGGTGTACTTAGAATCGATCATAAAATTTTAAAATATGAAAAAATGAGTCCAAAAAATTATACACATGCACTTTATACCTTGAAAGATTTAAATATTTTTATTTTGTACTCTCAAAAATAAAATTTTTCGCATTATACTCTCATTGTATTAAAAATTTTGTAATATGACTCTTCTGTTAGCTTTCGTTATTTTTTCCATCAAAAACCACCTGATTGATACTGATGAAAAAAATTACAGAATTTAACAGAAGGATCACATTATAACATTTTTACTATATTGAAAGTATAATATGAAAATTTTAATTTTTAAAATTATAAAATAAAATTTCTTAGATTTTTCAGAGCGTAAAATACGATTCTCCCACTCTTATATAAGACAGCCCATTACCAAACCTTTTTTTTTTTTTATACCATAGATAGTCGCTATTTGTTTATACCAACTCGTATCGTCTTGGCACGCAACTCAAAGGTTCTTTGAGGGTTGATGAAATCGATGTGTATCTTTGTAGTTGAATTGCATGTTGTTGTGCTTTATTCTTATGGTTGAATCTATTATAATTAAAATTATATTATAATATAAAGTATGACATGTTTCAATAAATTTATTTGACGGTCTCAAATAATTTCATCCAACGGTCACTAACATCTCTCTCAAAACTATTCACATTAAATTTTTTCTCATCAAATTCATCAATGTTGCACCGTGCATTTAAGCATGAGATACTCATTATTAACTATTAAGACCACGCAACCACACCATGAAATAAAGAGGAAAAATTATATTTTTTTTTTGTTACAAAATGTTTAGGTTTGTGTCAATTATTCCCTCGAACTCAACAATCGACTATTATGCCTTGAGCTGATCTAGAGCATGTGTTTAAAGGGATAAAGGTGGTTAGCCCTTAAGAGGTGTGAGAAAAAATTGAACGTGAGACTTTTAGATTACTAAAAGACAGGTCTAACCACTAGACTACCTTCAAAGGTCGAGAAAAAACTATGAACAAGATGAATAAAAACCTTCTGGCTAGTAGGTTTGTCAATTGGTTAAGTTTAAATTTTATTTTAATTAATTTGAATTTAATTTTATTATTAGATAACTTTTATTCCTTAGTTCACATTTGAATTCGATAAAAATAAAAAATTTGATTTGATTTAAAATTTTAGCAAATTACATACAAGTTCAACTCAATTTTATGAATAATCATTGAATTTCATCATATTTTTCACTTAATACATATTTATAATACAAAACATATCACAATCTAATCGTTCTGATTGTATAGGGATAAAATTAAATTTTGAATTCAAAAAATATGATGTTACGGATTCTAATTTAGATAATCGATTAAAGAATCAAGTGATATTTGACTAATAAAGTTTGCATTGGAGAGGATGGTCGTGGTTTGGGAGTTATACTGCCAAGTGGTGTATATAGATATAGTCATTTAGATATCTAGATGGGTTACAAGTATCATTGATAACAACATGGGAAAACACAGACCAGTCAATGGTTTCTGGTTACCAATATGCATCGAGGTGGGTTACAAGTATCATTGATTTCAGTTTAAGTTAGATTTATTTTGGACCCAGTTTATTTTTTAAATGAGTTAAGTTTAAATAATTTTTTAGATTCATTTTTTTAAACGAGTCTAAAGTCTCAACTCGTTTATATATACAATAATCAAGCTATTTGAAATCAACTTGTTTGAAAAATAAGGCGAACTTAAATAATTTTTTAATCTTTTAGAAAAACGAGTTCAACAAATTTGACTTGAGTTGATAAAACTCGACTCGATTATCGGCCCTAATTGCAAGCTCTATTTTTTCCTTTTCTTTCTTTACTGTGTTGTATAAGCTTTCTTCAAATTATGGTTTGCAATGAGACGTACCATGCTTAAGTTGTTTGGTATCAAAATTTATTCGGTTCATGCAAGATTCGATAGTGTCATAGATTAATAGTATATAGGTGAATTTGAGTCGTGTTATGGTTCAAAGTATCGGCCGATACTAATACGAGTCAGTCGAATCGTATTCGTCTCGACACCTTCGGAGCCGATACTGTTACACGATACGTATAATCACGAATCTCGCACAACTCGGCCGAGTCATCTGAGTTGTATCCAAGTCAATCCCGAGTCGTTGAAATATCGTCACCGAATTGACTGATATGGTTCCACGACACTACGATATGTCCTGAATTCTCATCATGTTCAACATTTTCTTTTAAATCGTATCAACCGATACAGCGCCGTGATGCCGCGACCGATATGTCTCAAAATTCTCTGAGTCGATGGTCAATACCATGAGCTTGAACCATGGGTCATAAAGGTTTGTGCCATGTATAGTCAAAATCATGTCAATTTATGTATTTAGTGGGCTTGGTGAATCAACCTTAAACTCATAATTGGTAATTTTGTATAGTTTGTGTTGAATTAATGAATGGTGTTGAAAATTATCAGGTCACCCCTACTTTGAAGCCAACCACTCAAAACCATTGTTTCATTATGGAGCCTCTGTTCTTCCCTTTTATAAGGAAATCACAGAACGAACTTAATCAAATAAAATTCAATTAGAACCCCCCCCCCCCCCCTCCCCTCTCTCTCTCTCTCTCTCTCATACACACACAAGTTGGCACATGCTTAACTGTTGTCCCAGAATGCACATGTGTGTGTCCCCTGCCAAGAATCAATTACAACTGTCAAGTAGCATAAATTGCCATCACTATCAAAAACAACCACGACACTTTATCCTTTTGTACACACCCCTTTTCTTGTCATCTGGCTATGTCACCAAAGAGACCTTTCACACTCACCACTCATGTCTCTGTCCAGATCTAGTCTCATCTTAAACACTGCCAACCTGTGAATTTCAGTGACACTCCCTAGTAAAGGTGTAGAATCTTTTAAATTGGAGATGAACAAAGAATCTACAAGAAGTTAATGTCACAAAAGATATTTGCCTGGACACACTGGAAAGAAGAAACACCCATCTGCCAGAAAGTAATAAAAAAAACTAGAACATAGAAACAATGGTTTAGTACATTGATGGACTCAATTTACCAACTCAACAGAAGAGTTTCCCACCACTCTGAGATTTTGGAAGGGTTCAACATACGCAGTCTTGTCACGCATGCAGAAAGATTGTTTCCGTTACTTGAACTCATGACGCTTAGGCCAAACATTTAGAGGCCATTGCTCCCTATAAACACATTTAGAGCTTCCTTGAAGCCTAAACAGCTAGTTGCTGTTGTTGATGAGAGGATTCATCTTCATTGAAACACAAGTGGAGCTTTGGTGATCTTTCTGTGGACAAGGATGATTCTGCCATGTTTACATGAGGCTGCAACAACATCTCTCTCTGGAGGTAAGAACAGTAGGTGTGAAAACTGTTTGGGGTCACATTCAAGTGGAAACCCAATCCAAATAGGAAATCTACCTCAAGAAAGTTCATCTCTGTTGTGCTAATTCCACCAACTTTAGCATAAAAAGCATTATTGTAGTACCTGAAATTTTTGCAGCATAAAAAAGACCTTCACTCTCCATATCCACAAAAAGAACTTATATATAAACCCCCCAAATGAAACCTAATTAATTAACATCTCTGGATCATAATGTTTTTTTGAGTATTTAAATCTCTTGGTTATAAAAAATCTCTTGGCATAAAGTCAATAAAAGATATTAGTGATTCTATATGATTGTTTCTAACTTCCAAGGCTTTGTTGGACAACTTGGACTTTAGCTTTCAGTTATGGATGTAAAGCTATTGAGACAGTGTCATGCAATTAATAATTAATAAATTTCTAGCCAGTGCTACATCACAATCTTTTTTGGGTGGCTGTCTTAGAGGAAGTTGTCTGGTTGGGTGAAAGACAAAGGAAAAAAGGCTTTACTAGCTGGCCTTAACTTAATTTACAAGCCAAGACATTATTGGGGAAAAACAATTCAACAATTTCCACAATCTGATTAGGAAAGTTAACTTCAATATCAGGGTTGCTCAGTCTTTTCAGTTGTTACACACTAGAAATTAACTTAAATCCCAAGAGAAACACAAAGACAATCTACTCATACATCAAACCCATTCTAGAAATCAGAAACAGGGCTAACCAAGTATACAGATCAATAATTAGTATGTTACCCATGACAGCAAGCTAAAGAAAGAAGACAAATTTTATAAGCCCAAGAATTTCTTAAACTACATAACCCAACAAGAAATCGATTTAGTTAATGACAAGTGTTCATCCGCGATTCATCACTGTTTCAAGTCCAAAAACTGTCCCTCCAAAATGAGGCTAGGTACGCCTCCTTACCTTTTCCAAACCCCTTTATAAGCATAAACCTTAATCATTTGGTTAGGGCCTTGTTATTAACAAAATGACTTTAAGAACTAAATAATTGTAAAAACTAAAGAAAATATCATAAACCCAGAATACAAATCCGAAGTCTAAAATTTTCTTCCCCGTCAGATACAAGTTCCAATGATCAAAACAACAAATTGGGAGAGCAACTTAAAGGACAAAGAGAAAAAAAAAAAACCAAAAAAATAAATCTAAGCAGCTCAAGTGTTTGTGATTTGTAAAAAGTGAAGGAACACTGAAAACTTACATATCATCCATGAATTTTGCAGCAACCATGACACTAGTGATGAGCAACCGATGAACATTGAAGGAATTAATTGGCAACGCGGGTTGTCGTTGAGTGAACCGATCAAGATAAACATACGCAACAATGAAGCATGAAGGGCTACAATTTGCATACTTGAAAATTCTGTCCAAGTAGCTCTGAATTGAGATAGTTGGCCTTGTAAGGCCATGAAAGACAGAGATTTTCTGGGTTTGGAATCGACGGTTGAGATCGTTCGATTCAGCTACCCTTTGGAGGAGAGAAGAGAGGAAGGTGATGAGTTTTGGCATCACATTTGGGCTCTCTAAATCCGCCATTGATGAGCACACAAAAAAAAAACCTCTGTTGAATGTGGTTTGATGTTTAGTTATATAAGTACGGTTGCTCATTATTGGATGGGTATGTTGAGTTTACGAAAATAGCCTTGGGAATTTGAATTATGGCTAAAGTATCCCCCAACACACACAAAACACACCACTTGTGTAGCTTTTGTTCTTTTGGTTCAAAAGGTGTGGTTTTGAGTTGGATTATGATTACCTAATTCAAACTTGAGTTCTAAAAGAGGGAAAAAAAGGAGTGATTAATGTGGGCTTATATGAAATTTATGATGACAAATCAAGAAAAAATTAGGCTTTGTGGAATTTTGTTAGGTGAACTTTTGGATTTAACCAAAATTTGTCAACCAAATCCAATAGTGTTAGAATGAATCTCTATGAGATGAAGTCTACCATCAATTCAACTACAATAATGAATATGATCTGTAAGTTTGGTACATATAATATTATTAAAATTTTTGATTCAATGGTATTCATTGGCCTTATACAAACTTTGTTTTCTTGCATGGTTAGTTGGCAGAATAGATCTCAATTAATTGGACGAATTATATTTAAGTATTTGGTGTATGTTTGAACCTCTATCGAAACGTAAGTATTGATTTAACTGATGTATGAATTGAAAGATCGATTCATGCACCCAGAATTTGCCCTCTGTTCTACTAAAACTCGCTAGACTGGTCGATATAAATACATCTTTATTCACAAGGGACAAACCAATCAAACAACTTCAAAAAAGAATATTTTTCAAAAAATCTTCTAATAATAGCAGTTTTTTATAGCTTTAAACTACTTTCAACAAAGATGTAAGATTTGAACAATAGTGATGGGCAATATTTGGAAAACAATAATGATGATGGCAATGCCATACTTATCATGTGAATTAATGGTGATTGTAGCTTTGTGGTTCCCACCTGAGGGATCTAGCATGTGTTCAGATTTAAGGCTGGTTTGATGACAAAATAGAGATTTGTGGTGCTCCCATCACAGCATTGGCACTCCACATCGAGGTGTTGTTTGGTAATAGGGTATGAAAGGTTCGGTAAGGTGAGTTCGGAGAAAATAATTTAAAAGATCCTTAAATTTTATGTTTATATGAAAAATTCAATCTTGCGTTTTCAAACTCAGCCCATAACTAACCCAAAGATTAAACCCATCATCATAAGCTTTGTCAAACTTAAAAGGGGGTGAGTTTAGGAAGGTGGGTAAAGGGTTAAAGATCCAAAAGACTATTGTCCCTTTAACATGAATATGAATTGAATTGATTAAAGGTAAAATAGTAATTTATAAGATAAATAATTGTTAATAATTAAGATATATTCATATGTTCTATACCGCTACATGTGTATGTATTGCATACCAAATATATGTATGAACCGAATTAAATATTAAATCTCATCTTTGCAATGAAGGGTTTGGGTTTTGAAGAAGTCAATCTAAATCATTTCCCAAAATTCATTCAAACAAACCCTAACAATTTCTGCATAGAGGGCACAAGTGTCTACATATATACAAAATAATAATATGGACGAATTTTATTTTACACCCAAAAGATTTTAAGTTTTTTTTTTATTTTGTACCCTTAAAGATTATTTTTTTTTACATTACACCCTTAATGTATCAAAAGTGTTGTAATATGACATTTTGATTAATTTTCTATTAGTTTTTTCATCAGTGTTAATGAGTTACCTTTTGACGAAAAAAATAACGGAAGTTAACAGAAGAGTCAAATCATTTTAATATTTTTGTTACATTTAGAGTGTAATATAAATAATTTAATCTTTGAAGGCATAAAACAAAAAACTTAAAATCTTGTAGAATTCAAAGTACGAAACGCCCTAATAATATTCACTCGATTTGTTAATGGGACCAATCACATTTTATACCTCAAAAGATTTAATAATTTTTAATTTTTTTTTGAAAGATTGAAAATTTTATATTGTACTCTCAATTAAATAAAAAGATAGTAATGTAGTATGCTTTGAATAAAATTGAGTACAATTTTTTTTATGCAAAATACTTAAAATTGAGCAGTATTATACAAAAAAATGTACATAAAAATTGCAGTAAAAAAATGTTGGATATTGTTACTTTTTTTTTTTTAATCCGATTGATGGTGCAATTTAAAAATTTTAACATTTTAAGGCGTAATTAAAAATTAAAATTTTTTCTAGGGTACAAAGTGTCATTCAACATTTTTTTTAACAAGGAAGGCGTCTTGAGGTTCAAGTGGAAAATTGCTGGGGCAATTTGGCCACACCAACCAACCCACCAAAGAGGAGCTGTATCCAACGCCAATCATTGACACAAATTCTCATAAAACCAGAAAAGTTCAAGTAAATTATAACAAGAACCATTAAAGAGTTTTTGTCATATGTTTGGAATATTATTTATATGCCAACTGAAGAAAACTTTTTGGCATTACCCATAGGTTGGGGGTGCAACTCAAATGGGTTAGACGGGTAATCAAATCAGGACATAAATATTTATTTTTTTTCGAATATTTGAACTCGAATTACATAATTCGGGTTAAAATTAGATTCATTTAAGATCCGAGTCTTGACATATACAAGTAGAACCAAAATTTGGGTTGAATTCGAGTTTTACTCGAGATGAACCCAAATTTGATTATTGGTTGCACAACACAGTCTAGTATTTGGATTCAACCGAGATCCTAATGCAATTACTGCCTGAAATCAAATAAATTTGGAGCAATGATAGTCAGCAGTGATGCTTAACCCTAAATAGTTTGATCAACGGATCGAATTCTGATATGAATTAATATTTTATATCGATAATTCAATTTGAAATTCGAATTCGACATCTTATATTTCACTGATTTGGATTTAAAATTGAATATGCGTATATTTGATTCAATTCGAATTCTTTTTATATTTTTGTATAAATATTTAAAAAAATTTAATTGAAAGTTAGGTATAATTTGATAAAATTTAGTTAATTAGGTTATTCAGATTGAAACCAATTTTCGGATTGAATTGGGATTGTTATCAGATTCAAATATAGACCACGAAAATAAAATTCGACAAAATTATCGAATTCAAGTTAGATTTTAAAAATCAAATTTGATTTCGAACAGTTAAAATTCAATCCAAATCTGATCCCTTGACACGCCTAATACTAAATGGTAGCAAATGATAGTAATAATTGGTGACAACTTTGGAAACCTCAGGGGTATCAAGGACAATTCAAAGAAAGAATTGGAGGGAGTTAAAAAAGACAAATACTTTACAGCAAGTCGGCAAGATGTCAATCTGTTTGTATCCAATTATGAGTTCCAAACGTGCTGAAGAAGAAGAAGCACAGTGATCCCCTTGGCTTATAATGTCCTCTGCCAATTGACTTATAACAATTGCAAGAATATGTTTATCCAAGGACAAAAATGCCCCTGACCCATTTTTTTAATCTATAATGCATTATTGTCCCAAATCTTTCTTTTGATTCTTAGCACCTGCCTCTGATCTGGGAGATGTGGACATGGCACCTCCATCCATTTGTCCACTTTTATTTCACTGTATCCATCAGACCTGTTTAGTAAATGGATCTACATGAACCCGATTACAATAACAGACTGGATAAATATCTATTCTTTACCATTTCCGCACAAAGTGATTACTCTCGTGTTCTTACTAGTCTAAAACTTATATGGCAAAGGTAAGTAGTTATAGTGATGCAGGGTAGTGTGGGTAAGAAACAAGATTGAACAACAAAAACTTTAATATGTTGATTATTGTAATAATATCAAATTAAAAGTCGTTAAGAGAACTCGTCTCTCAGTTTATTTCACAATAATCCAAAGTTGTCGAATTAGTTTTATACATGTTTTAAATACTAAACTCTGCCAATCCTAAATTACTAGGAAATCTCAGCAAAAATACGAAAAGTACTTAAAAAATAGTCTAAACGTCGTTTTTTGACGGATTGAAAGGTACATTTTTTAATATTACTTAGATCGTCGAGACTAATCAAAAATAGGGTTTTAATAGATTTTCTGACACTATTAACAAAAATCAGTCCAAATTGGCACCCAATCAACACTATTTTCGACTGTCTTAATCTGTCGTGTGGCTTTGTACTAAACGACTCATATAGGAAGGGTAAAACAGAGAGAAATTTGGAGTTTTTTTGTTTTAGTTTTTCTTAAATGGTAGATCATTCATCATGGTTGTAAATGGATCTCCACAAATACACGAGGATGATTTAACAAATGAAAAAAATTAAAGAAAAATGTATTGATGAGGAGAGGGAGAGAAAAAAGTGAAGCAACTCTAAACTAACAAGAAAGGTTAATTATGTAAATAGGAATAGAAAACCAAAGCGCCAAGCTGGAAGTGTGTCTTTTTCTTGGAGTGAAACAAAGAGCAAAGCATGTCGTGCAAGAGAGCTCCTCAAGCCGTGTACATGGGGATCACATAGCCTGTCTTCTGCACGTAATGTTCCAGCCCACATCACATGCTGTCCATGTGAGCCCCCCCAAACCCCACCCCCCCCAAAAAAAAAAAAAACCATGCTGTGACCCGCATACTTCGCCACCACAAACTATATATACCTAAGAGCAACCCACATGGTCATTCAACCGAAATTCCTGAGTGGGCCTGATATATGATATAACTTTAGAATATGACCCCTCACGTACAAATTTTTGGTCTCTGTAGGCCCTTTAACCATAGATGATTAATGATCCTAAAGTCTCGGTCATTCGCCAATGAAATCGTGTCACGTCGGCTTCTGCAGCACATGTCTACTATGTTTGGAAGGTATTATTATCACCGACAAAATCCATATATCAACTAGGTTATTTAAATGTGCAAAAACAAAAAAGAGGTTATATTTTTAAGAAAAATAATGTTATTTGAAGTTAATTTACTAATCTAATTTGTTGAGTTAATCAATCACTATTATTGAATTGATAATTGAACTCACCATTGATCGGAACGGCTTCCAATCCAAGTATTGTGATGACCCAGAATTTTGATTCCCTCAAAGTAGGGAGGTCAAGCAATGGTACATCATCAGTCTCTGTTTTTTGTTTATTTTCTGTTTTGTTGAACGTCGGTGTTCCTTCAATAAAGCCCAACAATTTGATGTGTTTAATATTTTGGTCACATCACAGAAGCCAAAGTGCACTACAATGACAATTTTTCCAAGCAAAGATATCATAGTTGTGGAAAGAAATCATAGTGGTGGCCCTGCCTGAATCTAGAGGTTTGTCCAATGTCACCGACACACCACTCGAATATAATGTGTCTATTAAAAACCAAGCTATCTTGTTTGTAGATCGTGTAATTGTGTCACAACAATTTGTTCCAACTTATACCCAACTCAATTATAAGCATGTAAAGTCGTATTCATGTTGTCCTTGAATCGTGCTGTGAGTGTACTATTTCAGCCACGATTGTATCATATTTAACCTATATATAGCAAAGTTTGTGTCCGTATTCACCCAAATTAATGTCAAGTCATTTATTTGAAAAGTTTGACGGGTCCATCATTTTCGCTAAAGATTAAACTCAACTCCGCTAACTCAGAATTTATTTTGTATCAGGTTCACCAACTGTATTTAGAATTACCAAACCTTTTGAAACCTATCAAGTCACTCTTCCTCATCAAACCAACCCCTATCCTCATGCTTTCTCCCTAATCAAACCAACCCCTATCCCCTTGTTTTCTCCAGCTGGTTGCTTAACCTAACCAAGACCCCCCAAAACAGGTCAAGATTATCAGATTTGAATTTGGCTGCTGCAACTGTAATTCACTACTTTGTTTTGGTTATGAAACCCTAACAAGCCTATTACCATTGCATCCATTGAGAAGGTGTAGAAACCCATCTCTTGGCATGTCTATAAAGACTTGGAGAAACTAATGTAAACAATCCATCAAGAAGGGCTAACAGATACAGAATATAACAAATAAAAAGTGAATTGAGTGATAACCATACAGGCAACAAACTCTTAAGGAATTTGGAAACAAGGAAAAACGAAAAGGGAGAGGGCACTTAAATTGAAACAGATCAATAGTGTGATTCACAAATAACCGAGGCTTTCGCCTTTGTAATTTACCTCAGCTAGTCTAGTCCATAATAAATTCCACAAATATGACAATGGAAGTCAAAGAAAATTTGAATTTATCACTCTACTGAATCATACCACTTCTGCCATAATGATAAACATGTGAGCTTCTATGGGTTGGTCCAAAAGCTACAAAGATAGCTCAAAAACTTTTCAAATAAGCCTTAAACAGAGGAAAGTGGGTATGGGTTCATTCACATGAGGAAATAAAATATGAACCTTCATGGAGCAACAGGCACATGGAAGTTGAGATCCCAAAGAGAATCCCGATTTCATCCTCAGGGCCATCATTATTAACCATGGTAACTTGAGCACTCAATATTTACCGTAAAAAGACAATGAAAGGTCATTTAAGAAGTTCTTGAACAGTGAACAACCAGTTCAGATATTCACAACCAAGAAGTACTGGATTCTCTTTCGGGTAGGCCCTGAAAGGCGAAGGAAGGCTGGAATGCCAACAGGCGTCTATTATTGAATTCACCCGACCCGATAGTACCCATTTTGGGAACGTCAACCCACACGGGCGAGAACTCCCCATGCATTGCACTTGGTTGATAAGGTCCTTGTATGTTGAAAAGGAATGAGTCCTCAAAAGCTTTCCTGAAGTTGGTTGAGAAGCATTTCAGCTCCCTCCTCATCATCACCACCACCACCATCATCATCATCAGGTCTGCCTTTCTCTGTTGACAGTGCATTGCCAGCAGCCATTCCATTAGATAAGGGTATATATGACATATACGCTTCATCCACAAGACAACCAAGTTGCCTTAACATCCCCAATAAAACCTCCTTGTTCACCGTATCAGCTTCTTGCTCGCAGAGCTTGAGAATTGAAGACACATTTACAGGCTTTGGTTTCCAGTTCTTTGATCCCTCGGCTGAAATGGCCTCCTTTAAGCAAGACAAAGCCAGAGAAATCCTCCTATCACTGATATGTATTTCTGATAGTATCTCCCATGAGCTTGAATTTGGCTTTGCTCCCAATTCACCCATTTGTTCAAAGAAAGCCTTTGCTTTCTCCGAAAATCCCTTTCTAACATACCAACCCAGTAGAAGATTTCCTATTCTAGAGTCATATGCAGTCTTAACTGACAGCCATTCTTCATAAATCTTTTCTGCGCCTTCAATATCACCCAGCCTAACCAACGAAGAGATTACAGCATGGTAACCCAAATTTGGAATATATGGAAACTTTGATTTGTAAATATTCCACACCCGGTGAACCTCCTCCTTGTTACCCACACCACCATAATTACTAATAAGATAATGATAAGGAATTCGATCCCAGGCCATGATCCTACTCTCAACCTTCTTTAAACAGTCTTCTGCTTTTTGTAACTGACCCAGCTTAATGTACATTGTAGCCATTGTGCTGAACGTACTCCAATTGGGGTTAATGTTCCTGTCCAGCTTCATCTGTTCAAATACTTGTTCCATCTTTTCTGCAGATCCTTGGGATCCACGAGATGATAACCAGATATTGTAGGAATATATGTCTAATGGTATATTTTTCTCCATCATCTCCCAAACTGTTGCATCGACTTTGTCATAATCTTTAAGGTTCATGTAAAGAGTCATCATCACATTGAATGGAAGGGCATGGCTGGCATAACATCTATTTCTCATTTGATCAAACAGAGATTCAGCCTTTTCTCTCATTCTAGCACGCACATAGGCATTCAAAAGAGACCCATATATCCTTTTGTCCTTTAAGGTATCTGGCAACTTCAGGAAGTACTTTTCAGCACTTCGAATTCCATGCACTTTGGAAATTAGATCTAACTGAATTGCAGCATCACTAGTGGACATCCGGAACTTCTCTCCCCTGTTGTTCATCCACTCATACACCTGCAGAATGTGTGAAAAGCTTATAGTTCTTCACCTGGGATGAAAAGGTAAATAATGGTAACAAACAACCCCAGCATAAAATTTAAACTCTTCTACCAACCGGCTGAGTTATACAGTGGTAACAAGAACAGAAAATAGAACCACCACAAGTCTCCAAGCACCCAATTGCCAGAGTTATTTCATGCTCCACTAGTCATAGCATGGAAATATTTTCCATTGGCAGTCTAGTTCGTAATTGATCTAGTTTTGAGCTCTCATTTAATCAAGAGGTTCTAGATTGCAAAAACAATTCAGCATTTACACTTTACAAACAGTCAAACACTAAGACAACTAAATTAATCAAATCAATCCTAACTACCAGGTGAACATTCAACTACTAGATTACAATGGTAGATAGTAAACAGAGAGAATTTTTGTTTAAGCAACTTAAAAGTCTTAAATATCTGATGTAACATTATCAGCAGAATTCTTTATTAGCCAAATCACAATAATGACAGCTGTCAAATAGAAAATATCAGAATCAAGGCATAATTGTCACCATTTTTTCCCAAACAAATAAGGCCAAGAAACTTATAAAATGATTGAGAGTGTGAGTTTTCTACAAAAAAAAAAAAAAAGAAAGAAAGAAATTTTAGAAATGATTAAATACAAGGGACAAATACTGCTTGCTGAACTTCCAGCATCCTTGCTGCCCTTATTCCCCACACATAATAATCATGCTATAAAATCAGGAAAGTGATTTTGGGTCTGCTCCTTATTCTTAGATGGACGATCCTTAACAAGATGGTTGCACAAAGTGATCTTCTTGAAGCCACGCGAGTCTTACTGCAACTCATTTCAGAAAATTATTCATTTATTGTGAAAAATTATGGGGCTTTGCCAAAAAACACATGCTCTAGGCACTGTTTCCTTAAATATAATTGGCACCAAGCACATTAACAATGATGCTGAATTTTTTTTATTAAAATCAAAAACAAAAACTGAAAGCACATTTTGATGAAGATGTTCAAAAGTAGTATGTATGTCTTAATATCTCAATAATCCACTTAAAAACATGCATACATGTATTAATTCATGTGGGACTATATTTTGGCGGAAGATAGCAAACCAGTGGGGAAAAAGTAAAATTTTTGACAATGCAAAAATGCACAAAACAACATTTTTAGTTTGGTATACATGGATTCAGAATTTATCCCCCAACCATTAATTTAATTAGAACTTGGAAGAAATTACCAAAACCCAGGAAGTAAAGGGTAACCACAACGGGAAAAAAAAAATCCAAATTACTTTCAACGGTAATGCTGTCAGGAACAGAAACAAAATATACATAAAAACCATGAATTGGTTACCTGAACATGCAAGCATCAAATTTTGGGGGTCACCAGCAAGATAATGCCCATACAAGTTTCTTCGACAGGGTGATCATCATGACCAAAAAATTAAAGGACATGAGTTCATAATCCTATCAATTCATAAAATTCTACCACAATACCAAATAGTGAAAACCCCCAAATGACAAATACACACAAAAGATCTAATAAGCACTAATAGGGGCTTTGCTTCATAATCCACATTGTACTTATTATGATCAAATTCTCATATAATTCAGAAAACTATCGAACATACCCACCAATTCAAACAAACCCAACAAAAATTTCCAAACACCCGTCAAAGAAAACCCAAATAAAGACTTCAATAAAATGAGTAATTCCTCCAGAGCAAGCTTGAAATGCTTTATCTTTCTCAAAAAATATGAAATTAGCACAAAAAATCAGTTTCAATTCAAGAGCGACATTGTACATACACACAAAATTGAGAAAACTACTAAATAAATCCACAAATTCAGATAGAATCCACGAAAAATACCACATTCCCATCAATAAAAACACAACAAAGACACCAAACAAACACTCATAATTTAATTCCTATACCTCAAGAGCAGACTTGTAACGCCTGAACTTTCTCAACTCCTTAACAACCCTACAAAGCTCCCATTTTGCGAGCTGCTTTCCCTCATTCTCACACTGATTCAACACACTCGCAGAACCCAATTCAGGTTTCTCCATGAGCGATATTCTCTTGTATAAAGCGTTCCATTTCAACATTGACTTCCTTTCATAGTACACTTTTCCATAACTGTGAACCTGTGATGTAGAACACGTAATAACTTGACTTCTGTGGCTTGAAACGAGTCGAAGAACTGACGAATTGGAAACTCCATATGGGAATGTGAGAGAGTAGGAAAGAGTTGATGAGAGAGAGACATGGTGCGGATTGCGATCGTGAAGTTGAGGTCTTGAGGTGGTGGGTTGGTGGAGTAGCATTTTGTTGTTCTAGGTTTTTGGAGGAAGTGTACCTTCAAGCCTCAGCTGTGATACTGGTACGTTACCGAAAAATTATGCAATAAATTACACTAAGACCTCTTAAAGTTTATCACAGAATCGCACATACCCCGCATGTTTTTTCGGAGAATTCCAAGAGAAGGATTTTGCTAGGCCAATGTTACAAAAAGCTCGGGCATGTTTAATTTTGTTCCAAAAAATTATTTTTTATTCTTAAAATTTTAAAAACACTTTAAACTTGTTTACTTAACATTTTTGTTCTCAAATTTTTAAAAAAATAAAAGATTTAGAGTAGAAAAACAAAAAATAAGTCTGACTTATTTCTGATACGTTTCTTAAGCACGAAATATATATGCAATGTTTATTACTGTTTATTTTTTGACCAAGTATAAAAGGTGCTTTTTTTTTTCCCTTCCCCGTCATTTGCCCAGAGTTGGTCAGCCCTCTTCTTCACTTACTCCAGCGAAGCACAAGAGCCCTCTTCTTCTTCACTTCTCTGTTCTCTGTCTGTGTGCTCAGATTGATGGTGCTTTTGTGAGTTTTGACGATGGTTGTGAGTTTTAGTGGTCGTGAGTTTTTTTGGACGTGGATTTTGGGTGATCATGAGTTTTGGTGGTTGTGGTTTTGATGGTGGTTGTGTGGTTTGTGAGTTTTAGTGGTGGTTGTGAGTGTTAGTGTTTTTGTGGTTTTGGTGGTGTTTTGTGCTTTGTGGGTCTTGATGTATAGTGAGAGAGAGAGTTGAGGGAAAAGGTGGAAATTGTGAATTATTGTCTAAATAAATTTTATAATTTTTGTTCTTTAAAATTATTTTTAAAAATATATAACTAAACAAGTTTTATGATTTAAAAATTTTTAAAAACACTATTTTAAAATTATTTTCAAAAATAATTTTTAGATAATATTTTTTAAGGTACAAACCAAATAGGCCTTCACATCCCCAAATTTCCATTTAAAATAGTCTCATGGGTTCTATTTTATTATTATAAAAAAATTTATGGTTTTTTATTGTTACCTTCTTGCTAGATCACCAATAAATTTGTATGTATAACGTTGAGTACAGGGCAGTCTACGTTGACATAGTAATAAGATTGATGTATTATAATTCGAACTTTATGTGTTGGATGTTATGTATTTTAGTCATTTAAATAATTTATTTATATACAGATCGAATAGGGTTGTATATATGGGATATTCCTTAAATCTTGTAATAATAGAAGTCTCATGCAAAGCCCATGATAAAATTAAATCCTTTTTAAGGTCCTAATAAATTTAATGATCGAGACTATTTTCATATTTGCAGTCACCAAATTTTTATGTAATTCATCAAACAAAGTAAACTGAAATGAGAATGAATTCTTTACGGTCTGTCAATATACAATACAATCAGTCAATCAAAATTTGAGAACTACACAAATACAAAATCAATGTTGAAGATATCCAATAAATTAGTGCATTTTTTAAACTTTGATTGGTTACCTATAAACATTTGATTTATAGGCTTGCTTGTAAAGTATTTATTCTCAACTCAAATACTAAAATTGCTACGCTGATAAATAGCTGCTACACAGAAATAGCAATTACACTGGAGGGTGGATTTGGAACAAACATAGATGTCATGAGTTAGAGTCACGATTTTTAGACTCTGCACACGAAAAAAGACTACTTAAATTTAATCCTCCTAAAAAAAAAAAACCTTTGCAATGATAGAAACATTGTGTATTCGATTACATATGTCTTGTCTTTTCACATGGAAAATGCTGATGCCTTTTTTTTGGCAATAGGGAAACAACTAAGCCACAATCATATGCATGCAATTTTTACAAATCACGCACATTGGTTAAACATTTTTATGCGCCTAGTAGACTCGAACACAAAACGAGCAAATATAGGCCTTGTCTCCTATTTGACGGTAGAACTAAACCTGTATGGATAAAAAAGCTTGTGTCTTGTCTGTGCAGTTCGCATCTTATTTGATCTTTTAAAGCACATTCACATTCTGAATCCCATTGGGATGTCTCGGTTTGCAGCAAATCCTTCTTTTTTTGTTTGGTATATAAAATAGATGTGGAGATAGATCACCACTTTAGATATTGGTCGGGTTGTTTTATCCTTTAACACCACACAACTATTTGCAAAAGACCCTATCACACCTATGCCGGGGCCTAAACTAAGATTTTACCGTATATTCTAGATGCTGAAGAGTAGATTTAGTTATACCTAGTTACCATAGAAACTCAAACCCAAGTATTGAGCGAGAAAATTCAAATTCTTACAAAACAACCGTTCGGTTGTATGTTTGCAGCAAAGCAAAGATAGCCAAACTGATATGATCAAGAAAACTACTACAATATCTAATGAGTCATAAGAATCAAGTCGGCCA